ACACTATGTCCAATGGGTAAGGGATCAGGCAAGTCTTCTGCCATCTAGAGCACTAAAGAGCAAACTAAGACTTGCGCTAGCAGAATTTGAGAGCTTCTTGTCCCAAGGGCAAGCTGGAATTCAAGGTTTTCTTTGAGTCCTGATAAATAACAAAATGCTACAACAATTTTAAGTCAGTTTATTTTTAACACAAATAAAATACTTTCTAATCTCTGGTTAAGAGATCACTAAGTTTATTGAGGAGGTTAAAATGAAAATAATAGGCAGTTAATAAAATTTTCCAGAGCATCTACAAGGTGTAAATGATGTTGGGCATTAAGTATTCACTAAGTACATGTACATAATAAAGACAGTGTTTGGCTCTACTACTGAGCAGAAAAAACATTGATCTACTGCATACCTCCTCCCTTGGGGACCCTGGAGGGGTTGTTGGCTTGGCAGCAGTACTCTCACCAATAGTTGCAGTGACACTTTCAGGAGATCTTGGAGGAGACTTCAGCTTTGATGGTGACTTCACAGGAGTTCTTTCCTTGTCTTTCCCAACTCTCTTCTCTTCTCTTAAAGGCAACGGCTCTTCTCGCCTGTCCCTTGATTCTGAAGATCTCTCGGGAACCCTTTCATCTGTACCCCTCTCAATAGGGCCTGAATCAGAAGTGCTTCTTTCGGCACTCCTCTCTCTTCTCATAGGCCTTTCTGGGCCTCTGTCATGAGTTCTTTCAGCCTGCTCAGGGATTCTTTCATGAGCTGCTTTTTCAGATTCTCTGTCCAGTCTTTCAGGGTCTCTCTCAGGTGCCCTTGTTTCAACAATAACTGGGGGTCTCTCAACTCTTGGTTCAGGGCGAGATTCTTGAGGACGCTGATTAACATCAGTAAAATAACCATACAAGCTGATAGTGATTCTATTGTACCATCCTCGCAGAACAACAACATCTGTCGCACCCTGATCAAGATAATAAACAGAGAAATAAGGATCATTTGTGAGAAGAGAGAAAGCAATACAAGCTAATTTCTTGGGGGTAATTGTGGGTAAAATATTAAACTTATACATATTTTTCATATTAAAGTAGACTCACAGAAGCTCTGCTTTATCAATCATAAAATACATTCTAATTTATAGGAATTTGCAGGTCAGATGTATAAGCATTACCCATATAAAGTTATTCTTGGAAGGTTTAATACATGTACAATGTAGTCAGACATATAATTTGTAATGCCTGAAATAACATTAATTTATTGTATTTATTTTCAACTTGTTCCATAGGGTTGGTTTCCTATTGAAGAGAATGATAATAAATGTACTCTACTTCATAAATAAAGCTCAGGTTTACTGATAAAACCCTACCTTGGAATACGTAACCAGTTGGAAGTTATTTGGCTCTTTGTACTCTAGTCTAGAAGAGAAAAATTCAACAATTAAAGGACTCTTGTTTAAATAGGTTCTTGAAACCTCTCTACAATACCCTAAATGTACTGTCATGAACTTGGGAGAGGTGCCTAAGGGATGGTGGTGCCAGGCAAGAGACATGTTGCACAAGCATTGAGCAGAGCATGCAGGTACACTGTATATCCAAGTCAACCTTAACAGTGGTAACCATCAGGCACCATCACTGCCAGTCACAGTAATAAAACAGTCATGTGGTGATACCAACCCAAACGCATGTACCTACATGTACTACTACTAACAAGGGAGATGTACATGTACTGAAGCAAAAAGCACTCCACAAGCAGATTCAAAGCTTGACAGAACTGCACATTCTCAAAAAAAAATGTAACACAAAAGTTTCATATGCCACCCCAAAAAGCATGACCAAACAAAATGTTTTTGACCAGCAACAGTACTGGTACCTATCAACCTTATCCTAAATTTCACTTCAAAGGCACATATCAAATTAAAGCTGCTTTCTTCCTCTTATGTGATTATATGCATAATTATTTCATCCTTGACATGCCATTTTTAACAAAGGACAATGTAACTTACTGTCCAAGTCTTTCAAACACTACATCTGAAGGTCTGTCAAGATTTCGAATAAATAAGTCCAGTTTAAAAGAAGGTGGATGAGTCTCCCTATGAGAAAAAAAAATACAGATATCAAATAAATTAGTAAACTGCATGATTTGACCAGTAACCGCAAACCTGAAAAATGAAATTGAAGCACTGGACAAAGTATTCTCCCCTTTATGTGAGTTAAACAAACCTGAATAGGCAGTGACAGCAGTTGCCTACCATCACTACCCTGCCATCTACTCTAAAATCTACCAAGACGTTCAACCTTAAATAGCAAGTTTATCTCATGTTTTTGGAATTCTATTGAGGTTTGCAAGACACTGTACTCTCACAGTGCCTCTCTCCACCCAGGTGGCACATGGATATGAACAACCTTTAACAGCTGGAGGTAAGCTTGCATGATGAAATACCGGTAGTAGTATCCTATCCAGGGGTGAGAGGGAGGGGGGTGGACAAATATTCCTAGCCACATCATACTTCGAAAATTGGAGACTAAAGCACCAGCCTAGTGGCCGCTTGGCTTGGCTTGTCTTGTTAATCAGACTATTAACAAAAAGAAAAATGGTACAAATTTCCCTGCCCAGAGAAGGAACTTAACTATATCAAGTTATCTTGGTCTAACATACCCCATTTTCTCTCTTTCACTGACTGCAGCGTGTACTCTGTGTCCTGCTGGTATCACCCTTACTTCTTGAACACAGACTGGTCTCGGAAAGCTCACCAAGTCAAGATGCATTTCCTAAAGTTATAGATACCATAGTTTAATTTCTATCTTTGTCTGTCCAGATTTATTTAACTTATAACTATACCAGTCTTCACTTTTCCTTCAACGCGCTCAGGCTTCGCACATGAAGAACAGGACAACCGCATGTGGTCGAGTGCTTAGCACCGTATGCACTGTATAAAAAAGGGACTGTATATAATTTTATATACTTATTTTATTATTCCATATCCATCTTATTTTATTTATTCATTTCTTCGAAGATATTAGCAATTTTGCTATTATAAATTCGAGGTGAAATAAATGGTATTGTATATTGTATATTGTAGGTCGAGAGAGCGGCGCCTAAATTTATGGTTGTATCTGCGAACATACACGACGAATGTGAACTGTCCCGACTAAGATTTTGCAAGTTATGGATGTAACTGAAAGGACCTCGGAGATAGGCATAAATGTTTTAACACTTACCTCATTTTCTGGATGGCTAAATGTGTCACAAAATAACAAAACGGGCTCCACGCTATCAGGTGAAATCCCCGCCATCTTGCTTGTTCATACCACAGTTCTTTGCGACCCACTATACACTTCATGTATTACGTAACCGAAAATTCTCAAGCTCCCGTCAGCGCTCGGAGCGCGGTGTGGCGTTCAATGGGTATGGTAATCAGGTTCAACCCCATTTAATTTCGATGTTACATCATTTTATGCTCATTTCTTGGTGGATCAATAGTTTTTCCATGATGGACTGAAAATTGCTCTTGATTGGAAAACAATTCCTGTCTGTCATAAATATCCAGGCATAATAACACTGATAAGGCATTATAGTAAACTGGAGTCTGGAGTGAAGAGGATACGTCATGGTTACCCAGCCCTGAGCCCAATACGCACATTTTCATCTAATAACGATGGGAGAGATGTTAGAGTAGCTCTCATTCTCGTCCCCAGAGGCCGCGCTCCTTTTGGTCAGCACCAAGAATTCTTGGTGCTGGCCAAAAGGATCGTGGCCTCTGGGGACGAGAAGGAGTAGCTCTTAGAAGTACTGTGCAAGATCAGGGAGGAGCATGGGCTCCTTTTTCGAACAGCAGCTGGTAATCGAGCCTAAATTCAACCACATCCCCACCCCTCCCAAGATGGATCACGTGCCTGTATTGGACTGGTTTTTTTTTTTTTTTTTTTTTTTCACCTCTCTCCAAAGCTTATGCATGTATCCTCTCTGCCACTCTCCAACTTGTGATGCAAGTCTGTCATCCGGCTGCTGTCTATACATCCTAGGGGGAGCACACCCATTTACAAGCTATATAGGTATGCCACTGTGAAGGGTATGGTTTTCAGCCAGTTTAGTCTGGGATAGGGTGTAGAATTAGACAGTTTTATTCTAGGATAGGGTATAATTCACCAGAAATTAAATTGGCCAGTGCATTAAAAATTTAGTCTAGAACAGAACAGGGTTTCTCACCTGGGGTTCTGTAACAGAAATTGAAACTGGAAATGACATTGCAAGATATTGGTTTAGTTGGCACATGTTGGATTACACATGGGTAATAGCTAGTCTGGAATAGGGTAGGGTTCTTCATGCCTAGTCTAGAGAAGGGTTTCAAATTAGAGATGGTTTTCAGTGTCACAGCACCACACTCCATGCTTAAGATTTACCGAGTACCACCCCCAGCCCTATAAATGCCCCATTTCATTCAACCTTGATACCAGGCTTTCTCTCCTTTGCTTCCCTGGAGACTGTCCTCAGCAACAAAGGAGGCAAAGGCAGGGGAACCTGAAATCAAGTTAGAGCCTTAATTTGGTTGTTTACTCCCAAAGAATGCAGGCAGCCAATGTAAATTGTTCAAATTCAAGCTAAAATCACGGGCTAGGTGATAGTTACAATGCATGATAAGGTTGAAAACAGGTTTTTTCGAAGAAAGCCCTTTTGCATTGGGGCATGTTGCTGATTTTCATGATTTTTGTAACTTCATTGACCCAATATCCCTGTATCTCTGGAATGTAATGGGATTCCACTTCACAAACAGGAGAGAACGTTGATACCCAAGGACAGATGGAATTTCATTTTACTTTGCAATATGATCTAGACAACACAAAATACCAATCAATCGAATCACTACCCAGCCTCCTAGAATTTAAGACAATGGTCTGATTACCCCATATACTGACTAGAACTATCCTGGAATCCAAGGAACAAGGTTGCCAAGTTAACGTCAGGCTGGACAAAAGTAGAAAATTATTCATAAAGGTATCCACCCCAACTTCATTCCTGTGTTATTGCTCATATGCACTGAAGCAGAACATACCCATCTGACCAGATTATGCAGTGGGGTTAATATCACTGGTCTGATTCGCATTCATTGTTTGGGTTCCTCACACAATGGTCCCTCCCAAAACAACAACTGCTCACATACAGGCTGCATTCCTTTGGGTGTTTGAGCATTCCCGAGTAAGTTGCGCCAGAATGCACCGACCATGACCAATGAAAGCCATGTCTCATTGTGACTCCAAGCGTCAGTGTGCCTTTTGAATTGGCCAGTTTCATTAAATCAAAATTCCAACTTGCCTTGGAGGCTTGAACGAATGAAAAGAAATTGCATCAAGGTTGACAGATGAATAATTAATTTCCTTTGTTTCATTCCCCAAGTCTCATAGCCGAGTTAGAATTTTAATACATTGAAAACAGCCTATTTGATGCACACCAGACATTACATTCCTTGAAAGGAGAATTTGACTCTACTTTATGCAAAGCTTGCTGCCATGCAGAATGAGAATATTTACACAAATGTCCATGTCAGGGTGTTACATCAGGAATTTCTTTCCCGGTTGCCTTCTGCATGTTGAGAAAAAACTCATCATCATGATCATGAAAACACTTTTCACATGAAAATGGAACAGTCAACTTCCATGACCATGATATGCAGCTCAAAAACATTTTCATGTGAAAGGTTCCTAATGAAGACCTTTTCTTATAACAAACAGTGAATAATTTGTGGGCAGGTGAAACTACCTATTAATTATTCATTACACATTAAAATTATTATGCCACCAAACAACACTGTAGTCTAATTAAAATAAAGCTCCTTTTAATTCTAATATTGTTATATACACTCCTTATATACATTTTAGTATTTAATTTTTTTTTTTAATTTTTGTTATTTGCTATGTCTTGCAAAAAGGCAATAGCTTACATTGGATCACCAAGGTTTCTTAATATGTACAAAATGATTCTGTGGCTGTTTTTAACAGGATAACAATGGTATACAAAATGAAGAACGACTTTACAAAACCAAGTTGAACACATACACATGTCATCCATCTTTTCATTAACCCAAAAATGAACATTCCAAAATTGTAATAACACAAAGGGAACCTCCTTAAGACTATCTCCTGAAACTTCAAAATACTGATTATAACTTAATGGTCATCTTGAGAGTCTTCTTTGCCACTTTGTCTCCGATTACTAATTAATTTTACAGAATATGTATTACCTACATATAGTAGTAGTCCAGAAGGGGCTCTCCAAAGCCTGTAGATGATGCAGCTTTAAGAAGCATGAAAGGAAAAATGACTGTTTGTCAGTTACAATGTCTTCCAGATTGACGAAATAAAGCTTGACCTTTTGAGTGTTTAAGACAAGTTTATTAGGGAGTTTCAGAAACCATAATGGCCACGCAAGGACAGCGTTAAATAAAAAATGAATTATACTTTACCTACGAATCTCACGATACTCTAAAGTCATTTACTTTGTTTATCACTGTCAAAACTATCGCAAAATTAAATCCAGAACACAGCAGTAAATTTGAAATTAAAATTTTAAAAATTAGCCACGGTGGTTCACGTTCCCCAGACAAAGAATTGGTCACTTCACATTGTTTGCAGAGGACAGCAAAGAATGTACCAAGAATTATAACAGATATGCACAGCCATTGTTCTGCTCATTAAACCTTTTGTTTGGGGACGTTGCTGTTGCTGTTGCCATTATGGTTTTCTTAAGCTCCCTATTATGGGCCAGGTAACTGTATGGGATGGTAGTGCTTGCCATCAAAGCTTTTCAGTTAGTTTTGAAAGCTATCTATGATCAAAATTATGACCTAAATTCTCAGTTTTGTCAATTCGTGAAACTTCATAATAAGCGCAGTGAAAACTTACGACGCACAGAGTGTAAATGGCTGCCCAATGGAAATAACACAGGGCAGTACAATTAAATGAACTACATGTACAATGGAAAAATTCACCCAACTAAATTGAAGAGTAAGAGCATAGCACAACCAAACCCTGCAGCACCTGAAAAACATTTGAATATGACACCTTGAGATCATGATACCTTCTGTTCCTTTCATTCACAAGATTGTTAATTTTCCTTTCTTTTCAAAACAAGAAAATGTCTTCAATGCAGCTTCAAAATGGTTGTATCTTGGAGAATCTAACCAGCTGAGAACAATTTTGACACTGTCAGACAATAGCTTTGCTGGCAACCCTGAACACTAAATTTTCATTTTATGTACACTAAAAGTAACGAGGGTCTGCCATTGCCACTTTGACTCACAATGATGGTAACATTGGGCATCAGGACCTGTCTTAAACTTATTAAAGGTCAAGCTTTCAAAATCCTAGGAATCTGATACTTTACCATTTCGGTTTAGAAGTCTGTGCTGTCAATGTCCACGACATGTATAACTTGAGGATGGGATCTGATCTTGTTCTGCACCTGAAAAGAAAAAGAAAGACGACGAGTGCGTGCTGCTCAAAAATTCATGAAAATTACATATTGGCGGTTCCTTTTTTTGTTGTTTTTCATCGTTTTCTGTCTTGAATCTCTGCAACTCAAAACCTGAACACTTGGGTTCATTCCCTGTTTATGGTCGTTGTTCCACTGCATCATTCGCATCAACACTTCAGTTTGAGAAAAGTAGAAATATTATACTTGGCCTGGAATACCGACATTTTGTTTGAAATTTTACAGGAATCCACTTTGAGTAGCTTTCCTCTCACACTTTGCGCACAACTCCAAGGACACTTTGCCGTTGTTCACATGAAGACAGACACCACCAGAGGAACTTGAGCGGGTTCGCTTGCTTGGAGTAGCCTCGTCGTCTGACCGCCGTTTCTTGCTTCTCGTAACATACTGCCTCTCCTCCTCCACGTTTTCTTTTTCGTTTCCTTCGCTTCCCGACGACTGCATCAACGAAGAAGACAGCGAAATGCCAGGTGTAGAGGCCACGCTCTTCAGCAGAAGCGAAATTGTGCTCTCGTTAGCCAGAACACTTCGCAGGTATTTCACCTCATCTGATAGCTTTCTGATAACGATTGTCATGCTTTCGTTGCGGGTTTTCAAAGTCCTATTCTCTTCTTTCAGTTGAGCAACATCGTTCTCAAGTCCTTCAACGTATTTCTTCTTCTTTTGTCGGTTCTCCCGAGCAGCAATGGCGTTTCTCTTGTTCCTTTCAGCGGTGGCTTTGTCGTCTTCCTCCGACATCTGCTGCTTTTTACCACACTGAACATTCGGTTTTGTGATTCGACGAGTCTCATCGACACCTGAATTTTCACAATTGTTAGAGGCTAGTTCGTTTGCTTGAATGTTTTCACTTATTTCCAAAAGAGCTTCCAAATCTTTAATATCCTGTTCGTTCAAACCGAAGTCTTCGTCAACCCAAGAGGTAGCAAAATCAGCCAAGAAATCTTCCACGCCAGCATCTACTCCACTGTCCATACTGTGAGCTGGAGACAGCGAGCTTGATCTCGCATCGAGGTTTACACTTTCAACGACTGGCAACGGCTCCATGTCAGGATCAACTCTAGGACACTGAACTTCCTTTCTCTTTGCCTTCGGTCTCGTTGCGCCTGTATCTGTCGACGGCGTATCGGTCTTGGAATCTTGGTCAGATGGAGCCACGGAGCAGTAATCGTGATCCAAGGCAAATGACATAGCCATGATGGTACTTTCTATCGCAATTAGCCTTTTTTAGACAGGAAGAAACGGGGAAAATATGCAAAACTTCTAAATAAAACTCTTATGATCTCCTTCTTCCTCTCAAAAACGTACCTTCGACGTTTTTACCACGAGGCTGAAACAAAACCCACGATGACGTCATTGTATCGATTGCGCAGACTCAATAGGTCATGTGATTCCAAAAAGTAATCACGTGTTATTCATGTAGCTGCAGCGCAGGGAGCGCACAATCTTGATGAATAGGAAGAGAGCAAATAACGGAATGAAAAGAACGAATAGCTTACCTTTGTCTCTTGTTGTTATTTCTTACGCGACCTTACAGAGAAAAGCGCTACTTACAAGCCCTGCGTAACACTGTAGTGTTACGCAGGACTTGTAGTGTTACGCAGGACTTGTAAGTAGCGCTTTTCTCTGTAAGGTCGCGTAAGAAATACAAACAAAAGACAAGTCAGGTAAACGGCTATTCGTTCTTTTCATTCCTTTATTTACCCTCTTCCTATTCAACAAGATTGTGTGCTCCCCGTGGCCACAGTTCGACATATCGCAGACTCCAACAGAACGATTTTGGATTACAAGGGAAGATAACATATCCGAGAGTAAACTCATGCAAAGAGAAGGTTATAAATACAAATCGGGCAGAAGGGCAGCGGACCTTCAAGCTGAAATCACAAGCAAACTCAAGCTTGAAAGAGCAGCATCCCACAGGCAAAAAAAAAAACAATAGGGTGATCCCTTTTTCAATTCGATCACCGTAAGGGGAACGGAAATTGGCTCGAGAAATCATGAGGTTCGAAAACCGAAAAGCCCAAAAATCTGACCAAGAGCGCACAAAACAATTGCTTCCAATAAACCGAACGTTCGGGAAGTCGGAAGTTCCCTAAAAACTACATAAATAGCCAGAAAATCGATCCAAAAGGGAAGCAAATAAACCAACAAAAGAAACAAGGATAGAGTAAATTCTTATTCAAACTCTAGTTTACGATATTCCGTGCACAATTCGAATGGCGCGGCTATCACAAAAAGAAGTGATTTTCTCTGCCCGAGGTTTCCCCATGAGCTCCCATGCAAGCACAAATCCAAAATGACTGGTGATTGTTGCGTTTTCAAATTTCTCCGGCGAAGTGTGAACGGGAAACATTTGATGCGTTTACAGAGTGAAACCTCCGTTTTTAAATTTCTACAGTGTGGTGTGCACGGGACAAGGGGCCGTAGTGAAGTCGCTCTGTTTGGCGAATACAACAAACTAGCATGCATGTGATAATTGATATGCAAATTTTCCTCAATGAGACGACTAGATAAACAATTTTGTGAATAATAATGGTATGCCTTGTTCTAATTATTTGACCTTTGCAACTGAGAGTTTTTTTATCAATTGCTTGGCTTAACTTACTCCTTACTTCTCATCTTAGAAGTGACATTCTTATTCACTTCAGCCTATTGCATTTTCTACCGAGACAAATATCATGTCAGCAAACCTTAACGTATTTTTAGATTTATTTTGATAATTATGTGACAATGTATCTTTTGTGTTAATTCCAATAGGGCAACCAACGCGAAAAATTTCCTGCGCGCCGCGATGACTCATCTAGAAAATTGTTCTACTTTACCTTCTAATCATATTTCATTCATGTGAATCAAGGAAACAGAGGCTCTGTTCTAGATTATCCCATTACCGCTTCCTTGTCGTAGTGAGAAAGTTAAGGTTTTTCTGCAAAAGATTCACACTGTATCCAGTCAGCTATGAAATCTTCCGTACCTCGCGTCGGCCTTAGTTTCATGGCTGTGTTCGTGTTGGGTTTGGTCTTTCAAGGCGCCTCTGCCGTGAGAGACTTGCATCATGAAAACGAAGTTGCTGGAAAAGCTCATCTGCGATTAGATAAAAGATCTGTTAGCAAAAACGCAACACCCAACATGCCGAACATTCTGAAACGACTGAAAGCCTTGGAGGAAAAGTGAGTAATGCTTCATAATTTTTACAGTTTTGTTCGGTAACGAACTTGCTATAGCGAACCGAATGACAAGGTTAGAAGCATTCATCATCAGTAAAATCTATTGGAAGTTGACGGCGCTTGCTCCAGTGTAACTTTACATGATCACAGGAAGTTGGCACTATTAAGTATCTCAAGCCAGTTATATTGCATTAAAATGGAGAGATTGATGGACCTAATTAAGAAAAGCGCCACAGATTGTTAGAAAAGATGGCTTCCCGAAAGAAATCTTGAAACTTAGTTTATCCCTGACTGGACAACTAAATTAAACCGTAACTGAACGATAAATAAATTTTAAATTTCTTACCCAAATCATATACGGTATAATGGAGAGAAACTTTCAATTACATCCTTGGAAAAGATTAGAAATTTTTTAAGGGTTCATTCTGCTTTTCTCACAGGCATGACAAGAGTCTTAAAAGCGCAAACTTAACAACGCAACGATTGCAAGAATTGGAGAAAAGGTTTGAAAAAATTAGTAGCCTACGTTTATTAGATCCTGAATACATATAATATTGCAATTACTCGTTAATTCCATAGGCCTCCTGATTTTCCCTTTTGATGTTGTCCGGTAGTTTCTTTAGTAACGGCCTGTAGTTTCTTTAGCGTCTTTAGTGTCTGTAGTGTCTGCAGTGTCTGTAGTTTCTGTAGTGTCTGTAGTGTCTGCAGTGTCTGCAGTGTCTGCAGTGTCTGCAGTGTCTGCAGTGTCTGCAGTGTCTGCAGTGTCTGCAGTGGCTGCAGTGTCTGCAGTGTCTGCAGTGTCTGTAGTGTCTGTAGTGTCTTTAGTGTCTGTAGTGGCTGTAGTGGCTGTAGTGGCTATAGTGGCTGTAGTGGCTGTAGTGCTGTAGTGCTGTAGTGCCTGTAGTGCCTGTAGTGTCTGTAGTGCCTGTAGTGTCCGTAGTTTCTGTAGTGTCTGTAGTGTCGGTAGTGTCTGTAGTGTCTGTAGTTTCTGTAATGTCTGAGCTGTAGTTTCTGTAGTTGCTGTGGTTTTTGTGTTATAACAATAAGGTCCTATAGGTTGAAGTGTTCATTTGCTGTAGTTTGTGAAGCTGTATACGTAAGTGCTTATTCATGATTGTGTTTTTTCCGCAGTTTGCATATTTGCTTGTGTAGTTTGTTTAATACAGTTATGAAGATGCGAAGCTCCTCTGTTTTAGACCCTCTGTTTTTTTTATATTTCTATGTACAGAATTGAGGCCTTGTTAAAACCCAGGTCAAGTGATTCCTGGTGGATGGACTACGTTTTGGGTATGTATATGGACAGTTATAAAAACATTCGCGCCCAAAATATTTCCTCCTGCAGATTTTTTTAATACTTGCCGTGTAGTAAAGTAACGATCAAATTTTTCCAAAAAGGCGAAAAAAAATTGCCCCGCTTGATTTCGAGATAAGACGATAATTACTGAAGATTATGCGTATTTCAAGCTCTGTCTTATTTTAATACCATCTTAGTGTATACTATCAGCAGTAAAAAAAAGCTTCGTTAGTGAAAGTTAGATCAGGTAAACGAACTCATTTAAACACAATTAAGTCTATTAAATAAACGTTTGCAGCTGACGTCGTTCCTTGAGGTAGAATAGGCCTTGAGAGAAAAAGAGAGTGTATTAATCTTGCCCGTCCAAATTCGAAGAAACCTCTGATCGCTGAATACGTTCTTCTTACTACCTGAAAACGTCAAGCTGGTCTTGTTATGAGCTCTTCACTAGAGTTAAGTTTATTTAAAGTACAGCTGGGAATACATTTGGAAAAATAAGGGGTTTCCCATCATATGGATCGTTACATATTTTAAATGTGACTAAAGATATCGATCAAAGCAAAAACTGAGCAGAGCTTCTTATCAAATCGGAGTGGAATGCCAGCATATAGTGAGTTGATGCAGTCCTGAATCTAAAATAACAGATCTGTTTTAAGATTAGCTAACTAGCTAAGACACATGTTGTTTATTCACTTTGTGTTTCTTTTTCGTTCTGTGAAAAAAATTCAGGGCGAGACGGTCGAAATAACGGGCAAGGCATGATGGGACCTCCTGGACAGCCTGGAACGCCTGGACAAATTGGTCCAAAAGGTAAGAGAAAAACTGATGGTTACAAAAATAGGTTCTAGCACTGGAAAATTTGGTGGATTAGCAAGCAGGTAACCAGTTGTGAAATGAATAAGAGCTATATGTCCAACAGTTAATCAGATTATCAGCTTTGCTTTTGTTTTGGCAAGATTCTAATTAGTTAGAGCATGCTGCCCAAGATGCTGAGCGCAATAAACGGCGACCGTTAAGGTCGATTTAGACAGCGAATGCACGAGGAGCACAAACAGTGGTAAAAATCTCACATAACCAGATAACGGTAGATATTATATCACAACAGCTTCAAACATTCATTATTGATGGAAGATCTTTGATGGAAACTTGTTAGCCTACGGGACTGTTAATTCTGGGCTTTTGTCTTTGTTTTTATAAAGCTGAATAAAGAATAGCGAAATAAAACAGTACGGGAAAATGGAGATAGGAACTACCAAGTCGTGCCTTAATTGACGAAAAATCTCAAATCTTGTTTGTTTGGCACTGAAGGAATACTGACTTTATTTTTGTCAAATGCAGAGCGATTAGGGAGGCAAACGAAGAAAACAAAACACAAGCACGGTCACTTAAGACTTTCATATATAGAACAAGCTATCGACAAAAACAACAGCTTTTTGTTTTGCTACAGGTCCTAAAGGAGATCAGGGAAGTAAGGGCGATAAAGGGGAAGACGGAAAGTCTGGGGTGAAGTATGTTCGTTGGGGAAGGACCACATGTCCTAGTGGAGCTGAAGTTGTTTACAAAGGTTAGTATATGCAGATTTGTAGGGCTTTCTATAAAAGGTGAATTTAAAAAAGTGAGTTTGTTCGTCTCATAGCGTAACGAAATAATTCGAAATGAAAATAAAATGAACCTGTCACTGGAGGATTTCCTATTTATGTCCAGAGATGGTTAGTTCTTCTCAGGCATATCCGGGTATGACACTAAATGTGTTACATACGTCTAAATGGGCGTTGATATTCTCACCTTGAAAAAAACAACTGCATTCGTTACTGGTAATTCAAAGAAAATTCCTCTAATATTCTCATTTAAGTAGACAAAAGCTGGATATGCGAATGAATTTTAAGAAACTTTAAGTTTCTTGCAGTTATTCTCTATATAATTATTTTTGGGCATGAGAATAACTATCAACTGTTTTATGTGCATTAGGTTTAATTGGTGGTGAGCATTACACCCACCCAGGCGGGGGAGTGAATTATCTTTGCCTTCCATACGATCCAAAGTACGACAAATACAACGATGGAGGGCAGAACTCGGGATTCATGTATGGCACTGAGTATGAAATCAGCGGTTTCAACCCATTTACGAAAAATCTCAATGAACATGACGCACCGTGTGCTGTGTGCTTCGTCAAGTCACGTGGCTCAATGCTTATGATGCCCGCACGGAATGATTGTCCATCTGGCTGGACCGAGGAGTATCATGGGTACCTGATGACTGGATACTACAACTACAACAAAGCATATGAGTTCGTCTGTGTCGACGAGGATGCAGAGTATGTTCCCGGTAGTCAGGCCAACAAGAATGGTGCCTTACTCTACTTCGTGGAAGGAGCATGTGGCTCACTCCCGTGCAACCCATATGTCAACGGAAGAGAGTTGACATGCGCTGTGTGCACCAAGTGACCGGAGACCGCCATTCCATTGGAAACCGGAAAGATGGAACATGTGATTTCATAGTCTTCACTAGTTCTGGTAATTAACATGACGTAACACAAAACCGAGAAACTAGGGATTTTAGTCAAAGAAGTACACGATAATGAAGTTCGCTCTTTCAGTTTAAAGTATCGAACTGAAGAACACGATGTACATGTAACGAATAAATATAACAATAATAAACTGTGGAAGATCATGCAATCAAAATAAGTTTTCTTCTTTGCTTCACTGCCATTCATGCGATTAATTCAGTTCATCTCCAGAGCCCTTGATCCTTTTGGTCAAAGCCAGAACCGTAAACTTCCAAAAGTAAGGGCCCTCGTTACTTTCGGAATTAACAGCCCTTGGGGGTCGTTACTTTCGGAAGTTTACGTAGTCACCTCTAGGTGACTTCTTTATTGAGGACGCTCGCTATGCTACATCAATTTAAGGCGAAAGATGTATTCAATGTTGTAACTAATAGCGTTTTTAACCAACTTAGTTTGCATACCATAAGCTGCAGAGACTCCATGCCTGTTGGGTAGACATGTTACATGGAGGAAATTTATCAAGTCTCTTCTGTCCCGATATCCTGCGATATCAAGTTACCGACCAAGTATGGCCCCATTTCTTGTCTGTCTAGATGCAGCACATACCTAATCTTACCTTTTTGGCACAATTCGGTGGCATTACAGTCAGTGTTGAATGTTTAGAGTGGTCGATGCGCTTAGCTACAACTAGCTAGTTCTCAGACATGCCACTTAAACTGAAAGAAAGAAACATTTCAAATAGACACAAATCCCAACTGACGGGGGGCAGACCAGTTTACAAGCTTGACCGGGGAGTTGAACTAGGGTCTACCGAGAAAAAACTCCAACTTAGTGGTCAGAGCGGGACTTGAACCCACGACCTCTGAATTTCAAGTCCGTCGACCTAACCACTCAGCCACGCTGCCTCCTCTATAGACATACAAGGCCGGTAGTGTACGATAGCTCAGCCAATCAGAATTTTACGTTTGCACGTCCACTGGTAGAATGAGTCCTACGAAATAAGGGTGCGTAATAAGGGTGCGAGCAAAGAAAATTTACAGTTCGATAATGAAAGTAAACGAGCAATTCTCTTTTCTTTTTTTTTTTTCCGAAGTGTTTTCTCGAAATAAATAGAAAATTTAGCATTTTGCTTTCTAGCATTTTGATTGGTTCCTACTTATGATCTATTGGAGATCAGACGCATAGATGACGTCATTAGCTATTGGAGAAGCCAGTATTTATCCCTAAATTAAAACCAGTTTTTCATGACCTTAGCATCGTCCCAGTTCCCCTCTGCAGTCATCTTGATCTTGCAAAATGCGAAAATGTAGAATTGTGGATGAGGTAGTTAAATTCTCTAAGAGTTGGTCCACTTGGTTATATTATCATGAATATTACCAAAGTGCAACGGAGACGGTTTTCTATTCAAGGCAAACAAATTCACAGGAACTTGTTGGCGGCAAGAAACTGGATGTGTGTTTACAGACGTTTGTTCTTTTCGTGCGAAAATAAGGTAAAACCTGACCCGAACCACCATCTCTCCTTGCCACAACTGTACTTCGATAGATGGTTGAAGAAGAAAAACTACCGATATTTCATTTCCCCGTTAACTCGAAAAATTGTCATTGTAATTTGCCCTTTTTGCAGACACTTTAAGTTGCATAAGACTTTCGCTCGTGTCGAATGCCTGGATTCGTTCGTACACACTTTCGCTCACCTCACGAAGTATTAGCTTTACGCTTTGATTGGTTCACTCAATTGTCTATGCTTGTTGTCCTTAATTGTTTTGCTGATCTTTTATATATATAATATATATATATATATAAAAACAAATTATCACGTGTTTAAGGACGTTCTCGCCCATTGCTTCCGACCTACCTTTACTGCTTAACCTCTACTTAAATGTTTAGGCTGGCCTTGTCCAGCCACATTTATTCTTTTGCTTTTCGAGACACCAATCTTGACACTTTGTCTCCTTGCGCCCCGAAATACGTGATGTGGCAACCCGTGTTTCGGGGTGCAAGTGAGTACGGAACTTCATATAGTGAACGGGTCATTTTGCAATTTATGTACGTTGGCTGTTGGGCTGGCGTTACATATCTTCGCTACACAGTGCTGACGAGCCCCAAGAGGGGCGAAACAGCTGTCGACTGTTGCGATCCTACTTTATCGGTTCTTGTCATGTTGGTGTCTCGAAATGTTTTTCACGTAGTATCAGCCTTGCAGTCTATTGTTTGTCTTCATACATTTTTTCTGGCTGATCAGATCTCTTGTAGATCCTATGTTGGCAGCGTTTATCGAATGCGGTCCCTTGCAGTTTCTGTTTCTCATTTAACCTTAACTGCGCACGAAATTCATGTAGCAACGTCACGCCATACCACCGTGACATCAAGCGCGTGCTGAGCAAGAAATATAAGCAATTCAAATTTATAACATAACTAAAGCAAAGCGCGCGCTCTGATTGATTAATTTAGCGTCTACTATTTGCCCATGGGTGTACGCTGCTGACGTGTGTGCTAATGTTTACAAAGCAAATCTTTTGACAGACATTGTTTCCAAAGTAATGGCCGACGTCCTTCTGCCAGAAATGCGAA